CTGCCATACACAAATACAGACAAGCACACTGCCCCACCCTGATAAATTCCTACCAAAATTACCAGTTGAGATATTAATGAGTGTAAGAGCATATTTGTTTTAACAAACATGAAAATTTTCAACATTGCAGCTATAAAAAATACTGTAAGACATCACCAACTTTAAAAATAAAAAGTTTCCTTATACACATTCTGAAGTAATCATTAATTCCTAGGTTTCAGAGTTTTAGTTCAGGGGAAAGTTTAACTCAACCTGAACTAAGTTTATCTTTTATTTTATGAGCATTAAAGTGTACCTCCTATTTTTCATTTTTGCAAAGCGGTCAATCACTAGACTGTGACTCAGCTTAGAAAGTTTTTCCTTTTAAAAGATGATGGAGCCCGTCTTGTTCCATTGTGCACCTCAGCCAAGTGTGGATCCTTCCCAACACACTGAATGACCTTTCACAACTCCAGCTGTAGACTGGGATTGTGAAGGAGATCTGGATGACCTGCTTTAGTGTTGGGAACATGATGTTATCAAGCAAGTTGAAAACACACTGCATATCCTTGATGACAAGGCTTTCTTTTTCAACCATAAAAAGCTTTCAAACCATTTTGAATTAAATTAAAGTTTTTTTTACTCCAAATTTGTCCTGGGGATAGTGGGACAACTTCACTTAGGTCACTTTAGGACCATCATGCTTTCCCCCTAAGTCACTAATGTCTCCTTCTTGTTTGTGGAAGCTGGTTGTTGCTCCCTCATCACCTTCATGGTCCTGTCTCTCCTGTCTCTTGCCTGTCAGTCTCGCCTCCTCCTCCCTTTCCTACTCCGGCACCTTCATTCTAATTCTCTACAGCAAACATTAAAAAACGTAAATTTATAATTATGTAAATATCTATCATATTGCTTATAACGTTCCTAATGTAACTAGTTTGCTTAAATCACTAATTCATTACGGGACCTTACCTCCTTCTCTCATCTTGTTTTACTGCTTCCCTGTCTCTGCTTCTTGTGAGGAATTTCCTGATATCCATCTACAAACCAATGCAGTAATTTTCAGTCAGTAGCCTATAAATCATGTGGTTTCACTGGGAAAATATTAAAATTGACAGGTAAGAAACGTTACCAGAACTAAAAATGTGTCGCGGCCGCACAGTGTCCCATCAAACTCAGTTGAGAGCAGCGTGTTAATTTACCTGCAGTTCATGCAGTGACATGCGCTGACGTGGGGGCGCTAATACATCCTCAATTTGGAGTTAACACACTTGCTACGCATTTGAGTAGAAATATACGTCTCCTCCCGTTGGAATTATCTAAATTGATGCATTAAAAAAATGTATCACTGTTGCAAATATTCATGAGATTTATACTGGGGCACAGCTCATTTATACTGGGGCACGTGCCCCAGTAAATGGGGTCTGGCGACGCCGATGGGCCATGTTATTTCGGAGGAGGGTGAAAAGCTACAACGGTATCTTTTTGGAGTTGTGCAATGACTGCAGGGCTTAGATTCCACATTTTGAAAAAAAAAAAAAAGAAACTCAGCTTTTCTTAAGTTTGTTTTTATGACACACTAATAGCTGTCAGAGAAGCAGACAGCGATTCGCAGAGCAGAATGTGGAACTTTTCTCAGTAACTGTCTTAGCTTTGTAAACTTATCAAAAACCGTGCATCCACCCAGCTGGTGGTTAAGCAAGTTATATGACCTTTGTGTTGTTACATTCTCATGGTGATACGCTCATACCTGTAGTGTCTTACTTTTAAGGGTTAAAGAGGACCCGTGTAAACAACAGTTCCCCCATATTCTTATTTTTTGTCTCTATTATATTATGTAGTTGGATGTGTGTGTATAAAGAGAAAACTGTAACTTGAACATGTAACAAAATTAATTTCACCCTGGGATTATTAAACTATTTCTGATTCTGATTAAAACCAGCAGCAATTTTGATCCATGAAATTATCATGTCTCGAACAGGGGGGAGTTATGATGAATATAGTATAGTAACACACACAGGTGTTTAACTACTACTGCTTTTAAAATTTTTGCATGTCTCACATGTTGTAAATTTAATTCACAAGGAAATCAGATAACTAAGTGAGGACAGGTACCAAGAGGTACAGCTCCATTTGAAATAATTAGCATGGACTACATTGAGCTGACCCCAAGTGGACAGTACAAGTACTGCCTAGTCCTAGTGAACAATTTTTCTAAATGGGTAGAAATTGTTTTCATAAAACATGCCAATGCACTGACAGTAGCAAAAGCTTTGTGTAAACATATCATACCTGAGCATGGTATCCAAAAAATCTTACAAAGTGATAATGGAACACATTTTGTGAATGAAATGGTATCACTAATGTCCAAACATTTAAACATAACTTTGAAACATCACTGTTCCTACCATCCACAGAGTGCAAGACTAGTGGAGAGATTTAATGGAGAAATTAAAAATAGATTGAGAAAATTCATGGCAGAAACAGGAGGGCCATGGCCAGGGTGTTTGCAGTTGGTGGAATTGCTCATGAGGATTGTTCCAACATCTGATGGTTTGGCCTCTTTTGAAATGGTGAATGGGAAACCTTTTGTTCTACCTTTATTGGAAGGACAGCCATGGGCAGAAAAAGAAAAAGAACATTGACCCATTAACTAAGTGGATTCTGAAACTGTTGAAATACGGAACTTTTCAAAGAACATGTAATCTGCCAAGAGCTCCTTTTTGTTTTTCCCACAGGAAGGCCTGAAGCTGGAGATCGAGTGCTGATTAAAATCATCCAAAGGAAGAATTGGGCAGCTCCGAGGTGGGAAGGACCCTACATAGTGCAACTAACAACCCCCACCGCTGTGAAGATCCAGGAGAGAAACACTTGGATCCACCAGAGTCATTGTAAACTGATTAAAAAATTTTCCTCAGCAAAAAAGCCCAGTAACCTTCACAGGGACCCCACGACTAAGGTAAAGATCTGTGGTGAAGTCCAGCTTCAAAGGGGTTTGGTTTTTTAGCACCAATCGTCTCAACGCTGGTGAAGAAACCAACCTAACCCAGTCTTTTAGAGTCTGGTTAGTGGGTGTTTCCTTGGACGGACTGGTGAAGATGGAAAATCCAAAGTGGTTTTGCTGCCTGGTGATGACCGTTGGACTGGTGTTACTAGGGACTCAAACTAACTGTCTGAAACAAAGGAGGAACAGAATGGTCTTTGATGGATCCACAGCAAGTCATCCTACAGTGCCAAGATGTGGTGGCAGAAATCCAAGCGCGTTGCTGAAGATTTGAACAAAACAGACTGTTATGTTTGTCCTCATATTCCTACTTCTATGAATACAATATATATTGAAAGATGCTGATGTTTTTTTATGTTTAACAGGGGGGAAATGTTAGAGTGATAATTATAAAATTATTGTGTGGACATATGAAACATTGAAAGAAAGAAGATGCTACATTTCTATCCTGTGATTCAATCAGAAGGGTCATAAACTTTTATGACCTCCATCCAGTAGGTCATGAGGCAGAGTCACACGGTTGTGCGACTTCCATCCATCCCGATGGTCATTTCACACTATCTTATGACCTGCATCCTCCCAGATAATCATTACTGGGTTTTCTGTTTAAGGCCCGCCCTATTATGTTGTAAACTGTTAATAAAAGGCTTTGCTGTGAAGGGATCTGAGAGAGAGTGTGTGCAGGTTGGAGCCTGCAGATTCTCTCCCCTTTGCAGAGGTTGACTTTCCAAAACCCTGTCTGTGTTTGATCATTTCCTCTTAATCTTTTAAACTCACATTTCTCTGGATTAAAACATAAAAAACTAGTCCATGCATTTGTTACTTCAAGGCTGGACTATTGTAATTCTTTACTATCAGGAAGTCCACAAACTGTAGTTAAAAGCCTTCAGCTGATCCAAAATGCTGCAGCCAGAGTTCTGATGAAAATGAAAAAGAGAGATCATATCTCTCCTATCCTGGCTTCTCTTCATTGGCTTCCTGTTAAATCATGAATAGAATTTAAAATCCTCCTTCTCACATATAAAGCCTTAAATGGCCAAGCTCCATCTGATATCAGAGATCTGATTGTTCCTTATGTTCCTAACAGAGCACTTCGCTCTCAATCTGCAGGTTTACTAGTGGTTCCTAGAATTTCTAAAAGTAGAATGGGAGGCAGATCTTTTAGTTATCAGGCTCCTCTCCTGTGGAACCAACTACCAGTTTTAGTCTGTGAGGCAGACACCCTGTCTACTTTTAAGGCTAGGCTTAAAACTTTCCTTTTTGATAAAGCTTATATTAGAGTGGCTCAGGTTATCCTGAGCTATCTCTATAGTTATGCTGCTATAGGCTTAGACTGCTGGTTGACACAACAAAAATGAAGCAGATTATCATTCTGCTTCATTCTCTCTCTATTCTCCTACTCTGCAGAATCTATTAGTTCAATCTCTAACGTTCTGCTCTCTCTGCTTTTTCTCATAGTAGCTTCATCTGGTCTGTTCCTGTTTGGCTGTGACTCCATCCTAGAGAGAAATATCAGCTGTGCTGCTGCCATCAACACCTTTGTTTATAGATGATTGAGATTGACCTATTTTTTAGTGTAGTCCTGTTTCTCTGACTGTGACTAACTGAATGTGCTCTCTTCATCCTTATACATGGGAGCTGGCTCGGATTGTCTGCCTGGCTGTGTGTTTCCTGGACAGGGCTGGCTTTTACAGTTGCTTTTTCTATCTCTGCTTCTGCCTCCTTGAACCCCAGTCGGCCTCAGCAGATGGCCGCTCACACTGAGCCTGGTTCTGCTGAAGGTTGTTACAAGCATGCTTGGTGTGAGGCATTGCTGAAGAGTCAATGAGTCGATGCAATCATCTGGTTTTCCTTAGATAGAAAGCTTTGACTCAATCTGACTGGATGATCTGGTTGAATTGTATCTGTAAAGTGCCTTGAGATGACAGGTGTTGTGAATTGACGCTATATTCATAAATAAACTGAATTAAATTGAATAACAGCGACACCTAGTGGTGGTATCATCTAGACTGGGCTATGTTCTGTTCTGTTCGTCTGAAACCTGAATGAATGATTCATCAGTTGTTAAATAATGTATGTTAAATAATGAGGCAGCAACAGTCTTGGCAGGAAATATGTTTAACTCAAATATTTTGAGGGGTTGTAAAATTGTAATAAATAAATAACTTCAGGAAAGGCTTCCTTCTGGATGTTTTATCCAGTTGTTTAACTTCTCTGTTTTCCTAAAGATGTTAGAATCATACCTTAAATTTATTCCTAAAATTGCTGACAGTCTGATAAAAGGAATAAATCACTGAAACAACATTAGCAGATAAACATGGAGCCTTTCACTCAGTAAACTTAGCTGGTCCAACTTCTGTTCTCCAAACCCTTTTTAACTGGACTTTATAAAAGGTGAAAAACATCTGAAACGAGTGTCTGAATGTTGATCTAATGTTCATCAGTTCTGACAAGGTGATCAGTGACATCATCACCTGGTGGCTGAGAGAAAATGACTAGTGAACATAGAAAGGAGCAAAGAGGGACACAGATATTAGACTAAAGCACAGAGAGTTGTCCACTGCTGCCTTGCAGCAAGTTGGTCCTGGGTTCAAATCCCAGTCTGGTCTCTTTATACTCTGAGTTCTCCCTCTGCATGTCCAGCTTCTCTTTGGCTGTTTTAGCTTCTTATCACAGTTCAAATAACATCATTGTTTAGTTGGTTCCTCCAAACTGTCCTCGGCTGTGATGCTGGTTTCCTGTCCTGCTGGTCTGGAACTGAATGGAAACCTCTCCAGGGTGTAACCTGCCTCCATCTATACAGCTGCCTCCTTGGAGCATGGAGAGAGTCACAGAAACTGCATGTTGAAGGAAAACTCCAGGAACACTTGAGGTTCTGAATAAAGTTGGTTTCTTTAGAGCTTCTTCACCTCAGAAGGTCAGAGGATCCCAGGAGTTTGACAGCTGTCCTTTAATGGAGGAAATCTGGGAGAACCAAACATCAAGAGCAGAAGCTGGATGAAGAAGTTTCTGATAAATCATCTCTGACATCAGTCATGTTGAGGAGTCACTGGTTCTGATGAATCTTGGACGTTTCTACCCTGAAACATGAAAAACACATCAGCCTCATTAATATCAGTTTTACAGTCAACAAGCTTAATAGTTCTGATTGCTGCAGCAGATCTGAGCCTCCTGCAGGTCAAACAGTTCACTGCAGGATTTAATACAGTTTGCTGTGTTTGAACCAAGAAACTACCTGCTGTTCAAGCCTTGTTTTAATTAGAATGAACTGTAGAGCTAAATTTTTCTGAAAACATTTATACAAATGATAATTTAAATACATCTGAAAATGCTTATTAAAAGTCACAAAACCAATATCTGTAAATAATCAATCCCTCGTGTGATAATGATTAGTATTATTTTATAGATAGATCAGTTGTTAATATTTTCAATATTTTTTAAAGCATTAGTATTTCTGTTTTCTTTTGTAATTCTGTTTTGCAGCCCCTCCTGAGTTAATCTGACAGTTTATAGATAAAGATATTGGTCAGATTATTGATCCATCAATAGGATTTATATAATCAGATTAGATTATTTTATAGTGTACTGCAGTTCATGCAGAAAATATGAAATGATGATGTGACATGATAACCATTATTTCTGTGTAATGACTGTCAAACTGTTCAGAAAACATCGGTACCAACCGAATCTACACCAACTGGTATACTGACGAACTAAAACTTTACAATGCTTAGTTTGCTCTATGGCGCCATCAGGTTGGCAGTAAATATAAAACAGGCGCAGTGATTATAATGAAATTAGTTTGGTAAGAAGATTTTAACAGAATAACTGAATAAATAATGTTTGTGAAGCTAAAATATAAATTCTTAACATGGTCTGAATATCATTTCAATCAGTCTTTATGATACAAAGACTGGATGAAAAATAAAAGAGGAAAGAAACAGTGAAGAAGGTAATATAACAAACATACATATTTTTGATCTAACTGATGATTTGCTGACTGAATATGCCGCTAACATTTAGCTGCATGCAGACATACTGAATAGTACCGCTATGTTATAACAGTAGACATATATTCATAGACGCTTCGTTAGGCTGAGGTTCGCACATTGAAGTAATCGCCATATTGTATGTGGCAGAAAGTAGTTAACATCTGTTGTAGTGAACGTCGATCTGCTGTGAAAGACCATTCTTTTTTTCGCATAGACACAACCGCGATAAGGGCATTGATACGCATGTCATGTGGGCCTGCATATTCACAGTCCATCAACAGCATCCGTAAGTCTTTCACAAAGTTGTCAAACTCCTCACTTGTACCCAGTGATGGGAGTAACAGCGTTGAAAAATTTTTTTTTTAGTAACGAGTAATCTAATTACTTTGAGTGTAACTATAACGCAGATACCATTGCCGACACCCCGTTACTGCACGTTACTCAGGTCGCACAATGAACCTTTTTTTTCATGATAGGACTCGTGCTCTAACCTTACAACAGCCAGATGCATGTCTCGTTCCGCCTAGCTCCACTCACATACATCTGGGAACCCGCTCATTGAAAGTGATTTCCCCAACCGAATTTATGGTCTGGCCAATCAGGACGCAGGGCGGGTGTGTCCTGCATGTGACGTAGTGGAGAAGCGACCGTGAGATTCCAACAACAATGGCGGCTCGCATCGAGGAAGCAAGCGTTAGCATTGATGCTGCTATTTCTTCTGTGTTGTCCAATCTATCTGATATTGTTTCATTAAAAGAACATCAGAGAACGGCTTTGAAGGCTTTTGTTGGTGGAAACGATGTTTTCGCCCTTCTCCCGATCGGATTTGGCAAGAGCTTGATCTACCAAATGGCTCCTCTGGTAGTTAAGGAAATGGGACTTCTGCAGCACCCCATCGTTATCATCGTGTCCCCGCTGAATGCTCTCATAGAGGATCAGATCAGAGAGGCTGGAAAATTGGGTGTTACAGGTATGCAGCTGGGAGGAATAAACGAAAACGACGTCCTCGACGGACGTTGCCAACTGGTATTTGGAAGTCCCGAGTCGTGGCTCAATGAGAAATGGAGGAGCATGCTTGCTTCAGAGGTGTACCAGAAGAACTTAGTGGGGATCGTAGTCTACGAGGTTCACGTCACGTATAAATGGTATGTTAAAAAATCCTACTGTTGTTGTTGTCACTGAACAACCTATTATATGTGATCTATCTATGTCTCTAAGCTACTTGGAGTCTTAAATAAAGTTTATATCTATCAATCTGTCTGTCTGCCTGTCTATCACGGGCGAAGCTGGCAAAGGGAGTCCAGCCTTCAGAGAGAGCTTTGCCCGGTGTAGGTACCAGATTGACTCGGGCTGCCAGATTGACTCGGGGGCCTGCGCCTTTTGATGACGTCATGAGCGTCCGCCATCTTAAATGTGGCAAATCTGCAGTTTCTCAGTCACTTAAACAGTATCAGAGGGACTTTAATCTCTGAATATACTTTGAATTCGTAGTATTTTTGTTTTTGTAATATTACAAGTTTATTTTTTGTATCCCTTTAGCTTCATTCTCCTGAATTTATTGTCGTTACAAATGCAGACCGCGGGCTCAATGTAGTTTGTTTGAGTGGCGTTGCTATAATGTGATGTCATCGGGAGGCGCAAGGCCCATGGCGAATTCGGTGACGTCATCGGAAGGCGCAGGGACCATGGAGAATTTCTTCCTAAAATTGTCCGTTTCCAAACCGCAATCCCGCTTTCGAATAAAACCTACACCCCGCTATAATTACTTTAGTAAGCTGTCCAGACCAATCAAAATGTTTTGCGCAATTGTGCAAACGTTAAAACAATTATGTAATGTGACGTCATCAAAAGGCGCAGGCCCCCGAGTCAATCTGGCAGCCCGAGTCAATCTGGTACCTACACCGGCTGGGAGAACTCAGATCAATTGTTAAAGAAGGTGAGTTAATTTTGTAGGCCTACACTGCAAAAAGAGAACTAGAAATAATTTAAAAATGTATTAAAATTAGTGTATTTGTCCTTGATTTAATCAGGTAAATAAGATGATTTGATAATGGAATAAAATGTTGGCACTTAAAATAGGAACAATTCATCTCAATCATCTTATTTCAAGTGCAGGATGTCTAATTATCTTATTTTAAGGGTAAAAAATCCTCATTCCATTGGCAGATAATCGTATTTACCTGCTCAAGTCAAGGATAAATAATCTAACTTTAAGAACATTTTAATTATTTTCAGATCCGTTTTTGCAGTGTAAATCTGTAAAAATATTGTTATGAGGGGCCAAGCAGTGTGGCTGCCTAGGTTGTCGTTGTCCCCCCTTTTCATATTATGCATGTGTTGTCTTTCAGGTACACCTGTCATGGCTTTGACAGCATCTGCTGATATTGTCAACAGAGGTCGGGTGACCAAGCTGCTGAACATGGAGAAGGCAACTCAAGTGACGGTTAGCCCAAACAGAAGCAACATCAGGCTTGGGCTGAAGCATGTTCCTAGTCATGACCTGGACTGCATGGATTGGGTGGTGACGGAGGTCAGAGAGAAGAGACTGTTGATGTCGCCTATCATTATTTACTGCAGATCACTCAAGGCAGTTGGAAGTGTGTTCTGCCATCTCAAAGCTAAACTTGGAGAAGATGCATGGGTGAACAGAGATCCAGAGCATAAGGCTGAAAACATGCTGATCGGAATGTTCCACAGCAAGACACTGCCACAGTACAAACAAAGAGTGCTGGCATCCTTTACGGGTGAGAGTAGCTGCAGGGTTGTTGTTGCTACAACTGTGCTGGGGATGGGCCTCAATTTTCCTAATATCTCACATGTTGTCATGTACGGGGCACCAGAGGATGTGGAAGACATAGTGCAACATGTTGGGTGGGCTGGGAGAAACTCTTTACCTTCACATGCAGTTTTGTATGATATACAAGCATCACCAAGGGTTGATAAAACAGTGAAAGCATTGATTCATGCAGGGAAACGGGGCTGTTTTAGAAAAGCCCTCTTTAGTCACTTTGAAGAGCACACCACAAGCTTGGAGCCGGGTCATCTCTGTTGCACCTACTGCCACTCGATGT